AGGCGGTGCCGTGACTCCTGCATCCTCGCCAGCTGCAGCGCCACCTCTACTTGGCCCGTGGGGGAGCTGGACGCCGCCACGCTGCTCTTCAGCAGCAGCTTCCTGCGGCGTTTAGTGAGCGGCTGCTTTGAGCCGAGCGGTGAGTCAGAGGATAGCGAGGAGGACGGTGGCTGGGGACGGAGAACGGGCGGAGAGACGGGACGACGTCCTGCCGCATCGCCGGCTTCCTTTAACACACACACATACAGGAAACAGAGGGCATGTCATCAGTGGGCGTTTCCCATCACGCAGGGCGTGGTCTGTATGTTTAACCTCCGCGCTCGCCATTTCCTGCATGTAAAGAGTCGATGATGCCTGACCAGCTCTGATTCACATAAAACGTTCTGATCCATCGATCAGGTTTCTACTCTGCAGGGTTCTACTGTGCAGGGTTCTACTGTGCAGGGTTCTACTCTGCAAGGTTCTACTCTACAGGGTTCTACTGTGCAGGGTTCTACTGTGCAGGGTTCTACTCTACAGGGTTCTACTGTGCAGGGTTCTACTGTGCAGGGTTCTACTGTGCAGGGTTCTACTCGGCAAGGTTCTACTCTGCAGGGTTCTACTCTGCAGGGTTCTACTGTGCAGGGTTCTACTCTGCACGGTTCTACTCTGCAGGGTTCTACTCTGCAGGGTTCTACTCTGCAGGGTTCTACTCTACAGGGTTCTATTCTGCAGGGTTCTACTCTCCAGGGTTCTACTCTGCAGGTTCTATTCTGCAGGGTTCTACTCTGCAAGGTTCTACTCTACAGGTTCTACTCTGCAGGGTTCTACTCTCCAGGGTTCTACTCTGCAAGGTTCTACTCTACAGGTTCTACTCTGGATGTTTCTCCTCTACAGGGTTCTACTCTACAGGTTCTACTCTGCAGGGTTCTACTCTCCAGGGTTCTACTCTGCAAGGTTCTACTCTGGATGTTTCTCCTCTACAGGTTCTACTCTGCAGGGTTCTACTCTCCAGGGTTCTACTCTGCAAGGTTCTACTCTGCAATGTTCTACTCTGCAATGTTCTACTCTACAGGGTTCTACTCTGCAAGGTTCTACTGTGCAGGGTTCTACTGTGCAGGGTTCTACTCTACAGGGTTCTACTCTGCAGGTTCTACTCTGCATGTTTCTACTCTGTATGTTTCTACTCTGCAGGGTTCTACTCTGCAAGGTTCTACTGTGCAGGGTTCTACTGTGCAGGGTTCTACTCTACAGGGTTCTACTCTACAGGGTTCTACTCTGCAGGGTTCTACTCTCTGAACCTGAAAATCTGAATTCCATCTGAAGTCAAATGAGTAATAAACACGAAAAGATGCTGTGAGTGTCCTGATCAATCATGCAGGACGTCTGCAATCTCAGCTGCAGGTCTCCAACCTAAACGTGTGTGCGCGTGTGTGCGCGTGTGTGCGCGTGTGTGCGTGCGTGTGTGTGCGTGTGTGTGTGTGTCTGTGGTCCAAACACTGTTTACGAGGCTGGGAACCTGCAGCTGAGGATGATGATGATGAAATGTTTCTGAAACATTTGAACAGAACCATCTCTCTGAGATTCTGGGTGTTGTCAGACACTGCAGGACCAAATGTGAACATATTACATTTAAATTAAATTTTTAAATACATCCCCGTCTGAAACCCACAGAGCTGAACTCAGATCCGAACCTTCTGATGTTTCTTCATGTTAAAACTATTATTTTACATTGTTATGAAATCCACCTACATCCAACTCATGTTTCATGCACGTGTCTACAGACCCTGATTCAGCTCGAGGACACAACTTTAGTCTGATATTCATGTTTAAATATTACCCGAGTTTTAGTGAAAGACAGTGGCCGTGTTTCAAAAACACATGTTTCTGATACATGAAGCTAAAACTTGACAACAACCATTATAAACCTTCAAACTTTGATCCCCGAAACTTTTATGTAAATTAGAAACGGTGGAGCAGAAGGTCCTCGATGATCTGAGACTCACAAGAACCGATCAGGAACTTTCTGTTGCACTAAAATATATGGATGTCTAACCACAGGAGCTGTCATGCTGGCTGTGGACACTGGATGGCGCTCTAATCTGGGTTCTGCTCCGTGTGTTTACTCTGTTTGGAAAATGTGATGCTGTGTGAGTCCAGCAGGTGTCGCTGTGCTGCTGTTACCTTCTGTGAAGGCCGCCTGGGAGCCGCCAGCACCTGCACACCTGAGAAGGAAGGAAGGGGGGGAGAGAGCACGGTCAGGAGCAGAAGTATGTGGACACTTTTGGTTAGGATTGTTTAATGA